GTATATTGAATGCTCATTCCTTTTTGAAATATATCTGTATTTTTTTAGTGGATTTTTGAATTAATTTAATTATTCTTTCCTCCTGATAATATTTTAAACATATTAATATTTACAATATAATAAAAACCATCATGAAAATCATCAACCTTCATCAAGATATATTAAAAACAAAACAAAATAAGTAGAACATTTTATACATTAATGTTACTAAAAGAATAGCACCACCATTTCCGCTAGCGATTTATGCCAAACCATCTATTTTTATAGGATGAGGGGACATTATATTAAAACAAGATACACGTTAATATAATCATCGTCAGTTTATCTTTCTTAAAAAAGTTCAATAAAATAATCAATTATTTCACAATTTCCTTAACAACTCCAATTAGACCTCTTTACAATTAAATTTTAATTTATCTATTTTGGTGTTTTGGTGTTTTACGAACACTAAGGATTTTTTGGGGGTTAGATCAAATCTCAATCTTTATCATGTTGAATGAATTTTGACCTCTTTTTATTTTTTAGTATATCAACTTTTAACTACTATATTTGTATCTATATCTACTGAGTGAAGATGCATATTTTATACATCAATTGTCGTTAATATTTTATAATTTCCAATGACTAATTATAATATGCATTGAAACAAAAAATCAGTGGTTTCTACTGAATCGTGAGTGGAAACTTCCGATAAGAGTTCTATTCAAAAAATAAAATATTTCACCAATAGCCCCAAAATTTTCAAAAATGATATATGTTGCCAAATGGTAAGTCCACCTCTTGTCTAAAGATTTCTTAAGACCATGTTGTATTTTTACATGATACGTTAAAACGCCTAAAGAAATTATACAATTGTTTGCTAAATTGAAAAAATTAAAAATGATAAAATATTAACTTTTTGGGGGCAAAGTTTTACTCCTCCAATTTCAGACATTGTATCATACACGCCTTCAGACATTGTATCATACACGCCTTGTTTATTATATTAGACGTATTAATCTTTAGACCATTAAGTTGCTTTAAATTTCAATTTGTAATGCTCTAGGAAGAAAGACCTTGCAATCAATCATTCCATTAAATTCTCTTGAATTTTTCCACAAAAAAATATACAGAATAATTAACCCCAAATTTTTAAAACCTGCTGCAACTTTTGATTCAGCAGTCTTAATATAAAAAAAAAGGCATCCTACTTTTGTTAGAATTTATTGAAATAGATTCCAACACCATTCATGCCATGTGTTTTGAATTTGAGGTGTTGTGCATTAAGGTATTTTTTCATATTTATTTAATAATTTTTCATTTTTTTGGCAGGTATGTGAAACTTTGCATTAAGAAGTCCTGAAAAATAAATTATATTTCATCTGCAGTAGCAGTTATTGTAATGGAAACAGACCCACGAATTTGGAGTTTTTATATGCTGATAAATTGAGAATCAAATATCGATTATGCTCAACTTGATGAATTGCTAAAATTGTCGATATTTCTGTATCCTTCTTTATATTACGATAATTATTTGGCCATATTAAATTTAAATAATCTTTAGATGTTTCCTATTTTAATTGGCATATTTTTCTAAAAATTTTATTCTTCATTTAGATTTGAATTTAATAACTAATATTTTTTTAAAAATAATTGAGGGGCTGGAAATATTTTTGCAGGCCATTTCTGGGGGTCAAAATAATTTTGAGGCCAAGTTTAGGGGCGGAAATGTTTTTCTGGAAGGGGGGGGGGCTATTTCGAGCCTCACCCCTGGAGAAATATCTAGCATAACTTTGCTTTATCCACATTAGAGAGCGATACGCTTTCATCACATATATATTTTTTAAAATTTAAAGTTTATAATATATATAAATAATTAGTATTTTATGCTTTTAAACATTTCGCGAAACTTTTAGTTTTCGCGGAAAAGTAATTAATTTAGCGGGAAGGCGCCATCCAAAATGTGATTTCTGGCAGGTCTAATGCAAAAATTATATTTACAGTTTATCTTAGTAGCCTTGATTTTTTTTTTACAAATTTAATAAATTTTAAATTCAAAAATAAATGAAAATGACATATATAAAAGATAAAGAAAAAAATTTAAATAAATAACATTTTTTTTTACAATAAATCATTTTTAAGTGGTCAGGTAATGTGTTGTATTTTGACAAATTGTTTTTTTTAAATATCTTTTTATATTTATAATATCTTTAGATCTTAATTGTTTCTTCCTTTTGATTAATCCTTTGAAAATTAAGAAATATAAAAGTAATATTTTTTTATATAAAATTAATATATTAGATAAACAAACACCTAAGATAGAATAAAATAAGAGAAAAATATAGTTATAAAATGAATAATGTAAAGGCAACTGTTTACTTTACTTTATGAAAAGAAAGAGTAAAATTATATTTCAAAGCACTTATGCTTATGATAAATAATAAAATTTTATACATATTACATAAAAATCTTTTATAATATTTCAAATTCATCAAATCAAATAACTCAATAAAAAATTAGATAACAAATTGCAAAAAGTTTTTTAAAAAAACATATAAATACATAATTGAATTTCCAGCTTAATAAAAACGTTATATCAAAACGATATTTTTTTAAAAAAAAAGGATTTTTGTAAATTGTAATATCATATCCATGATTTTTTAAATTATAAAAAAAAATCAAACATATCTATTTTCAATTGTAGGTATTAATAAAACAATTTTTATACAAATTAATATTTTTATATTGTTAATAATATTTTAAGATTTTTCTAATATATTTTTGGATGGATGCCTATTAATACAGATTTTCTTAATATTGGCATTTTTATTTCTCAATAATTTTATAAATATATCACTAATAATGATTTTTATTTTAAACTAGTTAGCATTCTTTGTACGCTTTATGGATTAACTTCAATATAACTTTGTGACCAAAAATTATATAATAAATAATAATGTCATATATCTTTATAATAATATTTTTTAATATATTTAATCATAATTACAATATACATAAAGAAAAATGGAACCAGACAACATGGCAACTTAAAATAAATTATTTTATTTATTTTTTTTAAAAAAAAATATTTTTATTATATGGCTTGGTAGGATATTTTTATTTTTCTAGGTTAAAAATAAAGAATGAATACTTATTTATTATAGCTTGAAAAAATATTTTAAAATCTATCTAAAATAATTTATTCCATAAAAATGTTAAAATTTTTATATAATATTTATAATAAAATTGTAAAAGAAGAAAGTGCGATATTTTTCTTTCTAAAAAAGAAATATTAAATTTCTTGGTTAAATATTATGTGTGACAAATTTATAAACTTCTTATATAAATAATAACTAAACTAAACTTCTTTTTACTTAAATTTTATATTTGATTACTCTCTTCTTCTATTTTGCTAATATATTTGTATTTTATTTTTTTACTAATTGTCGCAAAAGAAAATACTGGACACGTCGTCACTGCACAGTAGGGCTGGTAAAAATTCCGATTCGTGGTGTATTCATAAAACGACGCGATTAAAATTTTGGCCAAAATAATATTATGTAAGCCTGGAAATTTTGTTCATAAATGGCTGAAAGGTTTGGACATCGATTTGCCAAAGCTTGAGATTCTAAGTAATATAATTTTGGCTAAAATCTTAATAAGGTCGTTTTTAGATTTCCATTATATTCAATTTATATCAGAGACGTGCAGAGGTACCATATGCACGGCTCGGAAAAATCTTGGCCGATATACCCGGGTCGGGCCTGCAGGTCTCTGATTTGTTTGTATACTATTAATAATATTATTTTTTTAAATTAAAATGGTTTAAAATGTATATACTAAATATATATAAAACAATTACATTTTATTGTATATTTATAATACATAGTAAATACAAAAATGAAAGGGACAGAGTTCACAATCAATTATTTTGTAATTTGTAAAAAATAAATAAAAATTTTAAGTATATATAAATGCTACTATATATGTACATAATTTATTTTAAAAGTGCAATTAGCAATTATATACATTTTATTGTGTTAATTTATATATTAAAAATTTTTTTTAAAAGGGATAAAAAGGCGACATTTGTCTCTTTTTTGGATGGTAATGCTACCAGACCAGAATGTTTAATTTTTTTTTTCTTTTTATTGTATTATATTTATTTTATTAGTAATAAATATATATATTTTTTTAAAAAAAACCGATTTCTTCATAAATGGATTTTATATTAAAAATTTCTTTAAATTCTAGCTTTGAACGCCTAACTAGACAAAATCAATTTTAAAAAAGAAAATTATTTTTTAAATATAAATAATTTAAAAATACTATAAATAGTTAGATAGAGAATGTTAAAGAGAGAATGAGGATATTTCATTAAAATTATATGTTGAAGGAGGAAAACCTATGGAATGCTCTAAACGAGACGAATGGGCTGAAATAATAGAGGTAATCATATTCAAAGTCATTCGCAAAAAAATGAATGTTGATTCTGTCCGATGAACCTTGTATTATAACTTACTACATTAATCGGGATAACCCTAACCCCACATAAATTTATATTTTTCATATTGTAATTCTAATTACTAATTTATATTTTCAACAGTGATGATTTTTATATTGATATAATAATAATAAATTTTTTACACAACATATGAAACCACTTTTGTAAAGAAAAAAAAAGGAGGATATAAAATAAAACACTAAAAAAAATGAAATAATTAAAATAAACCCATTTCACAATATGGGCAAAAATATTTATTTTTTTCGCGATTCTGTATATGTAATATAAATAATATTTTGTTTAAAAAAATATATATTTCTTTTAAGTTTTAAAAAAATTTAAACTTTAAAAAAAATATTGTATTTATATTTTATAAATTTATAAAAATAAGGTTTCGCGCGTTTGATCATCAAAAAATTTTAAGTCACATAATTTTATAATTTAAAACAAAATAATAAAAATACACTTGCCTTTTCAAAGTGGAAAAATAATTATTATTTATTTATCTAAAAAACGTGTTAAATCCATTAATAGACTCTTCTATGTCTATCTAAGAAAAAGGAGATGCCGGAAAATATTTTGCCAAGTGAATTTGTTATATAGTCTCCATCCAAAAAGTAAATGAAATCTTAACAATTATGATGGGTTATAATCGCCATTGGGTCTTCTTGATATCATTCTTCACGATGACAATCAATTTTTTTCTATTCTTTTCTTCAACCCTTGGCATTGGAATCGTAAAAAGATTGCCCATAAAATCGGAAGATGAGGAATTCGTGCCCAATAATGCTATTAACGATGTTCTTCCACCACCAAAAATGATTTATGCGAAAGATGATTATGCCAAAGGTTATAATAAAATATGTTTGTTTTTATATATTATATTGTGTACCATGTAGAGAATATATTATATTACTTGACGGACCAGATATTTAAAACGTTAATATAACGCGGGAATCATTAATGCCAAATTTTTTTTTTGTAAATTACATTTTTCCGGAACACCCCCCCCCCATTTATCCTAATGACGACAGTTTCTTCACTTTAAACTAATCATATTTGCATTTTAAAATTAACTGAAGCATTTACACCCGAAACCCCGCTCGAAATTCGGACTCGACAATGGTAGGATTTTGAAACTTAAAAATAAATTACAAACGCGGACTGTCCAAAATAATAATTTTTTTTACAAGGGCTAGGCCATATTTTTGAAAATAAATTTGGATGTTTACATAGTAATTTTAACTAGTTAGAAAATCGCGAAATGAAACGTTTAACATTCATTTTATAAAATTATTTAAAGTGACAAATTTAAAATGAAAAATTTGTGCCGGGTCTGAAACTTTGATCTCAGCAGATCTCTGAAAATACTATATTATTGAATCTAGCCTTATTATAGCAGATGTGCTTACCCCATTTGTTTCTTTAGTTGTTTAATGCTTATATGGAATAAAAAAATAATGAGAAATTAAAAGTTGTATCGGGATATCAAGGTAGAATTTTAAATAGCAAGGAGTGAAAAAAAATATTAGAAACTTCATTTTGTTTCTCTATGTAGAAGTGACAGATTGAAAAAATTAATTATCTTAGACTATATTAATTTGTTTTAACCTTTTTCAAACATTTATCATTTCCTCATTAAAACTTTTCAAGTAAAAAGGAATCTTTTTTAGTTACAATGCATAAATTTTTTTTCTCAAAACTATAAAATAAAGGTTAAAGGCAGGAATATGACTTTAAAGATAGAGATATTATCTCTATCTGTATTCTCTAAATAACGGGTTACTCGCCAATAGAAAAAAAAATAAATGAAATTGTACATCTTTCTCTTTATCTGATGGCTGAAAGCAAGATAGTCTTACTAATTACAACAACGTTGAGCATCTTATATCAGCTTTAAAAAAATTAAAAAATGAGGTAATATCACGATCTCTTAAATATTTATTTCACCCGCGCAATTATATCAAGCGAAAAGGTCCCTTAGCATTAAGACGATAAATTTTAAATTTTAGAGAAGATTTATGTCATATTTAAAAAAATTTGTTTGCTTTAATCTAATTCAAATGCCGATTTTTAAAAAGGGCTAACTCAATATTTTAGCTAGAAAAATATTGTCTGAGCCTCGAGGTTTAATATATGTCTAGACCTTTGTTCATTCTATAAACATAACTTCAGGGTTGCGCAATATTTTTCTAAAATATTGAATTAGCCGTTTTTAAAAACGTCTCAAAACGAGCCATTTAACAACACTAAGCGTGTTCCGTAGAAAATAATTTTGTTTCCAAGGAACTTTTTAATATTTTTATAATTTGTTTTATTGATTATCTTCTTTAAAAAAAAAATTGCATGCTTATATTAATACTCTAAAACGAATGGAAAACACATTTCAAAAATTTGATCTTGATGTTTATAATTATAACTTCATTTAAGGTTTAAAAAATAGGAGTAAACAATAAAATGGGAATTTTTTTTTAAAAAAAAGTGTGGTTTTTCAAAAAAAATCTTTCATATATCACCCACAGACTAGCAAATTTTACAACACCAAATAAACCTCATTTACTGTATATATTTTTTTATAGTTAAATAAAGCCCAAATAATTATTAATATACTGGATCAAATTTTATTTTTTTATAATTGATCAAAAATAAAATACGATTAATTTTGAAATTTTAATATAATAAAACTGATACTGATATTCATATTATTCACTCCACCTAGCTAAATTTAAATTCTTATATTACTAATAAAAATAAGAATATGCTAAAGATTTTAATTATTTTCCTTTTATTATTATATATTCTCTTAATATATATATTTTTTTTTTTAAAAAAAGGCTGTAAACTGGCTTCTAATTTTTACGATGTTGGAACATCGTGGAATCCAGATTTAGGTCCTCCTTTTGGTGTATTATATTGCTATAGATGTACCTGTATAAAAGTAAAATTTAAATATTTTTATTACTTGTGTAAACAAATAAAATTTTTTAATAAAACACCGTCCCACCACATTTTGATCAACATTATAATGAGTTTAGAATCCTATAATATTTTCAATTGATACGTTTTCTGTTATAGAAATAGTCAAAAAGTGATAATATGGGCAGAATTTGGAATTTTTTAGGTCATATATCAACGCTCAGATTAAAGAAAGAATGAAAGAAAGAAGTCTGTTAGCCTAGGTTTATCCTTTGAGCTATGAAAACCCCAGCCTTAGAGATTATCTCTTTTAAAGGCTATAAAAGAAAAGGTAAAATTCCAAGAAATCATTTCTTAAATTTTAATCACCCAATAAAATTATAAGGAGGATGAGAAATATTTAGTAAGATTTAAAAAATACCATTTTATTTTGTTCCTTCAATTCATCACAATCGAATTTTTAATTATTTATTATTACAGCACCATATTATAATTTTATCCTAGAAAACGCAAGATTATTATTTTTTTATTATATCAAGAATCCTGTTTTTGAGAAACGCTCCATTCTACCGACCGTCATAAAATGTCACAATTTTAAGGACACCTGCGCCAAAGTGTATTGCCGAGCTCCTGTTAAACTTCCCGGAAAATGTTGCAAAATATGCCCCTCCCAATATTTTTTCTACCATGGCTCGCCAGTAGACAATAGGCTAAATACATCGTTTTTCTTTCCCGCTAAATATTATTCCCTCAAAGATCATTGGTCGAGGAAAGATTCTTCATTCTTCCCGTCTTTAAAGTCCTTACTCAATTCCGATGCTAATTTTAAGCCCTCGTATTCGGTCAGCAAAAGCAGCGAGCAAATTCATTCTATTACAAGTGATTTTTTGATTTCTAAATGATTTATAATGCGTAACCAGGCAATATATATGTGTAATATTTTAAAAAATAGCCCGAAATTTATAGGAAATGATGTTTAACGTTGGTCTGCATATTGCGATTTGCTAAATGACGACCAAATTTTATTTAATTCAATGAATCATATGGTCGCTTCCGATATTCTATATTTCATGCCCTAAGAAACTAGTTGGCCTTGAAAAAACGTGATCATTTCTGAATTCGAACCCAGAGCTATCCTATTAGTGATATGTGCACTCACTAGGCCACAGACTCATAGAGAGAACAATTATATATATATATATAAAGATAAAATTACAACGCTATCTAATATTTTAATAAAACAAGATTTAAAAAAAATCCCTTACATTTGTACTATTTCAGCCCGCTGGCCATGATTTAATCTGTAGTATACCCCCCCCCCCTCACCCCAAATTCTGAAAAACATATAAAATTGAGAAAAAGATATATTATAACATATCACTTTTTTTAAAAAAAAATTTATTACCTTTTATCAGGGGCCCTACCCTTCATTTATAACGGTTCAGTATGAAAATAATATAATAGTTACGGTTCTTAAGAAAAAATTTATAAATCTTCGGTTCGGTTTAGCTAAATGTAAAGGTTTATGAAGGTTCATTATGGTTAGAAATTATTTTTAAAATTAATTTTTATCTAAGCAACATTATCGTATAATGATTTAAATTATGAACATTATTTGATAAAATTTTTGCCATCACTTAATATTATTTTTTGTAAAATAGAATTAGTTTATTATAAGTATCTAAGAATAATATATAAAATTTTTTTATAAAAATCTGAACTCATTTATAAATATATTATTTGAACGTGTAAGTAATATATTTTCTAATATAAGTGGATTCATATTTGTTCGTTGAGATGATAACACAAATTTTAGCCCCAAAAAAGCCCTTTCAACAGAAATTTGTGTTGCGAGAACCGCAAGTACTAAATGAGCAAGTTTATATAATTCTGGATATTCAAATTTATATGATGCCCAGTATATAAAAACTAATGATATTTAAATAATTTAATAAGTGCAACTAAATCAAAAATTGGTTATTTAGATATTTTGCATATTAAAATATAGAAGATAGGAATGCTCTAATACTATATGAAGCAGTTAAAAGAATGTGGATAAATTTAAGTCATAGTAAAAAAATATTAATAGATAATTCTTATGGACATTAAACAAATATTTTGATTATTTAATAATTATAAATAACGACGTAGATTTGGAAAAATTGTAATACATAACAAGGAAAAGAATGGAAAGTTATTTTTATTTTAGGTGGTTTAACCTTTTTATAAAGGTTATTTTTACTCCTTCGAAAAATAATTATATCGGTTCGGTTAAGGTTCAGATATTTATAAAGGTTTTTAACGGTTTCGCGGTTCATTCCGATTCACTCCGGGTCCCTACCTTTTACAGAAAAAAAAAGGCATGAGAAACAACAGATATCTTATTAAAAAAATGATATTATTTTTAATTTTATTCATTTCGTGCTCGTATTGCTTTGTTGGTTTTATACCCTCCTTATATTTGAGCAAAATATTATTTTTCGTTTATATTTCTCAAACTTAACTGAGGTTCATCCGCATAATTATTTAGGCATGTCAAATAAAGGGATAACTTAATAACCGAACCGTTAAACCATTATTGACAGTTAATATTTAGAGAACCTAACTTAAACCGTTAAACATTTTATGACCCGAAACTAAACTGGGTTTTTTTTAAAAAAAATGTAATTCTCTTTACACAATTTCCATAAGTTTTATACCATCAGGTTTAAACCGGTTTTTAGAGGTTTAAACGGAACCTATATTATTATTTTTTACTAACCGAATCTGAACCATGGACCTTTATTTTTATTTGAACCGAAACCTAACTTATATTCGTCACTGTTTGGATCCCCGATACAAACGTGATCTTAACTTGAATCCTCTACTATCACTTTAACCATTATATTTTATATCATGAAAGAGCATGATGTAATAAAATAATCGATAATTTTCCGTGAACTATTTTTTCGCAATTTTTTAGAAAAAATGAGATGCTGGTTATTTGTTGGAAGACTTTGTAAATTTACGATTTATATTTTCAAAAAAATTTTTTTTGTCTAAAATTTATATGTACTCGTGTGTTAAAAATCAAAACTTTTCAAGTGTTTCAATGTTTCCTGGCTCCTGTTTCAGCTCACCTCCTGTTATGTTCTAAAGAGCTCCATTTTGTTTTTCGTTTCCATGAAAATTAAAATATAAAAAAAAATATTGCATTTATCATACATAAATATAAATGTAATTTTAGGTTAAAAAAAAGTTAACGAACTTTACAGTTATTTGATTGGACCGACCATTTGGCATGTAAAATAACAAATACAGCTGATAACTTTTTTAAATTTTTTTGGGTTCTGGAGTGGTCTGAACCGGAACTAGCACTCGCCATTTTACTCAGTGTTTCTTAATTATTAGACATTTTAGCAAAAATCTGTTTCGATTGTGTCCCAGTCTCCCCTGTCTTTAATTATATTAAAAATAGAATTTCGTTTTTACTGATAAGATATTGTCTATCATCTCACGTAATAATTGTCAATCATATTCAATTTTTTTTTGTATAGATAATTATATTAAATAAAACTAATTTGAAACTACGAAAATGATATAGCATTATAATAATATAGTAAAAACTAAAAAAGAAATGTTAAACTTTTTTTTAAAACCTTTTGTCGAAAGTTAATTTATAGTAATTAATATTGGCAATCTGTATGTAATTATAATATCAAAATCTCTTTTTATTCATAATAAAATTATTCATAAATTTTATTAAGATAATATACTATAATATAATGTCTTTTTTACCCCCCTTAAGGTATATTCCAATAAAATGTTTTGGACTGAATTAAGACATTAAATTATAACATCACGATATCTTTTAATTTTATATCTTATTCATAATTATTATGTATAAGTTATATCAAAAATTACAATATTACAATATGACATATTTTGTCAACGTGTCTCTAAAATTCAAAATACCACCATAAAATTTGACAAAAATTTGATTCATAATTTCGCAATATTATCTTTTCTTCTTCGCTATATAATGCTAGATTCATAAAAAATGTTATTTTATAAAAAATATGTTAACCTAATAATACAAATTAATAACTTAAATTAATCTGTGTAAACCCATAAATTTGAATTGTTTATACAAATAAAAAACCCACAGCTTAATGTTGTCCTGAAAGATGCCGCTTTAATCAGACATGATTACATTTTAAATAAATTTTAAAATATTTGTTTTAATTAATTTACGAATATTTTACGATCAAAAACAATTAAAATTATTTTAAATACCCTAGAAAAACGGAAGTAAAGAGAAACACCACATAACGTCTAAATTTTTTTTTAGTAATCTTAAAGGTATATTTATTTAAATATTGTATTATTGTATTGGTAGTTTTGTTAAAAAGCCCGATTTGGGTCGATTTTTAAAAACTCCCCGATAAAATTTTGGTAAATAATATTATGTAAGCCCGATAATTAAACCTTTCTGCCACCTATGAGTAAAATCTTCAGTCTTACATAATATCGTTTTGACTAAAATATCGGGCTTTAACAATATTACATATTGGAACCAATGATGCATATATACTATTAGATTGGTGATGCATTAATTGAAGGTGCTCATACACAGGAGTCAGTTGAAATGTCCTTTTGTGGTTTACATGTCGATTAATTATCTTTATTTATCACTATATGAATGCACATTAATGCCATTTAACCGACATGCAATCCCCAAAATGGCACTACAAATGACTCCTATATATGGATACTTTTAAGATACAATTAATGAATGAATAACCAATCTAGTAATATACATCATTGATTAGGATATGGAATCTATATATTTTTTTTAAATAAAATTTTAGCTAATTATTTGGATCCCATTCTATATACAAATAAGAATTCGATATTTTAAGTTTAGTATAATTTTTAAAAATATAAGTTAGTAGTTATAGTTATTTTAATAAAATAGATTATCATCAAACTTATTAATGGAATGCTAAAATAAATAGTTTTATATTATATTTTTTTTAAGGAACTCCTTATATTAACGACAATATAAACAAAGTTTCCAAGAATTATTATATCGCAATTTTTTTTATAAACTTCTTGACCGAAAAGATCTTATTAAAAACAAATATCTTTTTTGGTCCTAATTTCGGGTCCCGTTCTAAATCGCTAAAACAAAAATCTCTAATAATTGGAAATCATAGAAAATTTTTTAAGTAAATCTAAAATTAATATTAAGAGATGCTAGGGATAAAAAATCGATAAAAATGAAGGAAATATTATCATTGCTTCCTATTTGATTTTTCAGATTTACTTTAAAACTTTTCTAGGAATAATAAGCGAGATTCACAATTTTTAGCGATTTGGATTTCATTTTAAAGCGGGGTAATTAATCATTACTATACTACATTAACTAATAAATATATATAAAAAAGAATATTAAAATAATTTTATAGAAACCCAATAAAAAGAATTTTTGTAAATCTATTCCGTAATCTTAAGAAATAAAAATCACAAATCTGGCTCGAATAATTAACAGAATTGATTTCAAGGATATTTTATTTCGAAAATAATAAAAATAATAATAACACATCTTCATGTATTATTATCCCAAGTTTTTACTCTTGATCACCATTAAGGTGGCTATACGAACCACGTGATATTTTTGCCCTAGATTGAATTCCGAAGACATCCTAATTATCATTTTCTTTTAATTAAAAGAAGAGTATTTTTTTTGGTTTTTGAAGTTTGTTTTAAGCCCGAGCAATCCAATTTATATTTAAAAAGAAAATTAAAAAAATAAATTTGTTTATTCAACAAGATTTTCATAAAATATCTTTGGGCCGGACTATGGCATAAAAAGGGTTTTAGTGAGGGATTTTTTTTAAAAGAAATTGCATTTTCTGATTAAATAGAGGGTAAAGAGTTCAAAGAGAATATTTCCACTTTGTCTCTATGCCATTGAATAGAATAGCACCATTTCATATGACAACAGGATTCCTTTTTAAAATTATAATTATTTTTTTAAAATTTTCCCCATATTTTTTGATAAAAGATGGTAAAACATTTGATAAAACGGATTCCAAAATAAATACCATGGAAGAAAGTAATCGATTTCAATCAGACCAAGCTTCGAACTATGGCAAAAATGACAATGATATAACTGGTATAATAATAATAATATATTAAAAATAATTTGTCTGCCAAAATAATATTATTATTATTATCGTATTGTTCGAATATTTTATTTTCACCGCAGTACAATTACACCAATCCTGTATAATAATAGAACTAGATTTTAGATAATGTTAATATTTTAATTCACTACTCACTAGATCATTAATTATATAATTTATCGGGGGAAAAAAATGAAGAACTGTACAGCCTGCTGATCCCAGATAATTTAAACAAATATTATGGTCAGATTGCAGTAGAAGGTCAATATCTAAATCCGGTTTCAGCCAGAGTTTACGCGTATATTGAGAGGCAAATCTTGTATCTCACTATCAAAACTGTCGGGTATCAATTTAAATATTATATTATAATCAAGGACCCCGAACTTAAAATTAAAAATATTTTATTAAGTACCTTTAAGATTCAATTAAGCTCCTGGTGCCTTTCAGCTCCAATATTCTAGTTTTTTTAAATAATTTTCCCATTCCATTATTTTTTAAAAATATGACTTTTGGGACGTTCCGAGATAGAGAGAGAGGGGGAAAGAAAGAAGGTAAATCGAAGTAAGCCACATAGGTTTAGATAACCTTTTAATTTTTTTTCTTAATATATTAATTTTAATTTGATATTATTAGTCTAGAAAACCCGTCAAATATTTCATTTTACGATACTCTGACAAACACTCTGTTATACGAAATGCCCGTTCAACGCCTTTATAAGAATTTTGACGGAGAGTACATTTATATCAAGGTTTCCATATTATTTTTGATCTGTTTTTTTATAAGTTGCTTTAAATTTTATTCAAAGTTTCATTTTTCTGGTAATATTCTTCCATTATACATCTTTATTTATTTCTTTATCGTCAGATATGTTTCAGTGTTTACAATTTCGAAGAGTTTATTGCCAGTAGAAATGATATGATTAATGGCAAAATAAAGATATCCTTATCTCATATTCCATTCGCTTCCTATGCAAACCAAAACGCCAATCTTAGCATTTCCAGTACTATTATTTCAACGTTATCCGGTGTCATCCAAGATCATAGATTCATTCAAACTGGTATATAAACATGAAAAATAAATATTTTTTGTTTGTATCTTTTTTTACAAAGTTTCGTATGATAATTTTTTTTAATAAAAATTATAAACAAACTAATTTGAAACAGAATCATTTTCTTCTATTTTAACTCCTACAAACTCGGATAACCGAATGTACGACTCCTCAAATGGCGACTATAAAAGCCGAGCTGGTTTGGTCATATTTACCAAAGGATATTACGATCATGATACACTTGATTTTCTCTTCATTCTTAAAGACAACCAACGTCCAATCATAGGTTAGTTCAAAACTTTTATAAAAATTTTAATCTAAAGAATAATTATTACTCTTTTCTATTTGCATAGTAAAGCATCATCTCCAATAGAATCATAGTACATTTCTACTTATAATACTTTTTTTTTCAAAGATAGGATGGTTTTTCTTCTTATCGATTAACATTATACATTAAATTTTTAGAGAAAAAAATTATTATTATTATTAAGTGTTTTAAATGTAGCTCTACATAATTATGACTTATTATTTTGTTAATCGTTGAACAAATGACCAGTCAATGTTTACGATGAGCGAGATTTCAGAGAAATAACCATTCGATTTGTATGGCACAAGAATTTTGGTTCAGGGATCCCTATGATCCCTTTCAAACATATCACGGGATACATTAATATGAAAGTAAAATATTGGATAAATATGTTTTTCGAGAGAATGAATAAAGGAAGGAAGGAAGGAAGAAAGACTATATTTTAAGAACTATTGTAATTAAAGGTGCGTCCAAAACTTAATGATTTGTAATTTTGAAAACTAATAGATAAGAAAACCAAGAAGGATATTTTATTCTAAATTTATGAGTTTCGCCGCTGATGGTGATATTCTTTAAATAATTTACTATGATACTCTTTTCATTGTTTTTAAAATATATTTAATTATAAAAAGATCACGAATGATAAAATGATCTATACAATTTTTTTTAAATATAATAAATAAAATCAATCCGCTTTTTCGATTTTAATACATATGTTAAAATAAATCACTTTATCAAATAAAATATATGTAAAGTACAACAGAAAGTAAATAAGTTTTTAATTCCAAAATATTTTTCTATCATTTTTTAAGACTATTATATAAATTTTTTCAAATTAAATTTGTGAAATTTTTCAAATTTTGGACATATAAGAAGTCTATTTTAAATTTTATTTATACGCTCCATATTTAATAATTTTTCTTAATACCTATTAGAGCGGAGAATTTGCTAGTAGTTGGCCTTCCATCCCAAGAACAACTATGGGATTAATACTTAGCGGAAATGTCAAAATAGTCGTCGAAATAAAGGGGCCCTTTGGACCATTTCAATTAAATGGAATTATATTTGTGAAAACAACTTGTTCTGGTATGAATAATAAGAATTCTATGTAATTTCTAAAAATTCTATGTAGTTCTAAGAATTCTATGTAATTCTAAGAATTCTATGTAATTCTAAGAATTCTATGTAATTCTAAGAATTCTAAGTAATTCTAAGAATTCAATTCTAAGTATTCTATGTAATTCTAAGAATTCTATGTAATTCTAAGAATTCTATGTAATTCTAAGAATTCTATGTAATTCTAAGAATTCTATGTAATTCTAAGAATTCTATGTAATTCTAAGAATTCTATGTAATTCTAAGAATTCTATGTAATTCTAAGAATTCTATGTAATTCTAAGAATTCTATGTAATTCTAAGAATTCTATGTAATTCTAAGAATTCTATGTAATTCTAAGAATTCTATGTAATTCTAAGAATTCTATGTAATTCTAAGAATTCTATGTAATTCTAAGAATTCTATGTAATTTTAAGAATTCTATGTAATTCTAAGAATTCTATGTCTATGTAATTCTAAGAAAACTATGTAATTCTAAGAATTCATAATTCTAAGAATTCTATATAATTCTAAGAATTCTATGTAATTCTAAGAATTCTATGTAATTCTAAGAATTCTATGTAATTTTAAGAATTCTATGTAATTCTAAGAATTCTATGTCTATGTAATTCTAAGAAAACTATGTAATTCTAAGAATTCATAATTCTAAGAATTCTATATAATTCTAAGAATTCTATGTAATTCTAAGAATATTGCTATAAGTGATAACAAATTTTTTTACTAATTGACGCCCAATTTAAAAAATAAAACTTGCACCCATTTTTTTAGATACAAACCTAACCTCTGTAACCACTACCCCCTCCCCTAAACTACCAGCTCCGGGAAGTTATTTTTTGTAAAAAAAATTGTCCCAAGTTAGCAATTGAACCCGGGCCGAAATATCTTGCTGGTTTGGGCGCAGGTCCATTACCTTCCGAGCCACACCTGCTTCACAGGATTTCAGATTTATTTCTACATATATCATCATAAGGTTGCAGCGCTGCATACAAATATATTGAGGAAAAAAATTTTTTATATGCAATTTATTTGTTAATTAGCCTTATACGCTTCTTTAACTGGTTACGATGCATATCCTATGACTCACACAGGCATGGCTGGTTATATACTGATGAAACTTAATGAAAACGGCAAACTAGATTATAAAGTTAGTTGAAATTCATAGAAAATACTCATACTTTAAAAAATAATCGTTGATTTTAATCTTTAAATAAAATTTGATAATTATAAATAGATAATATAATTTTTTCTATCGGTCCACCCGAACCGAAGACTGATTGTAAAGACCAAACTATGGAACCCATTCCAAAGAAAAAATCGTATGGATCGATTCAAAAAACCAGACCTTTGACCTTCACTATTTTTTTGATTAAGCAATTCACACATGTTTATAAATCAATATCTTGTAATGAAAATTTAGAGAGAAAAAAGTTTCTACTATATATTCAAAAATAAAAAAAATAGATCCAAGTTTCTAATGGCAATAATAAAGAAGCGATAATCAAGACAGTATCGATCATGCCATACAATCACAGGCGAAAAAATTTGGCTAGATCAAATTACAAATATCCAAATAACGCAAAAGCTAAAACTCTTAGAAGTGGTTCCAAAAAAAATAAGAGAATAATCGCCGAGATGGAATATAATCACGCGGACCCCGAAAACAATAAAGTAAAAGAAATATATGATATTCTATCTACATAATCCATACTGTAAAAATAAGCAAACTTGAGTAATTCAATTTTTTTTTAAAGCCGCCAATAGAGTCAACCTCTTCTAGTTATAAAGCTTAAATTTAACAAGCTAGAGTTATATTTTTCCTAAAAAGTATACTTAGTCATATGGGTAACAACGAATTATTTATTAATATTTAATTTAACTATATAACAGTTAAAGTTATAGCTTTTTTAAAAATACACTATTAAAAATGTGTGTATATATATCACATAAAAAATAAAAATATAGGGCTCATTTTATATCTCGTCTATGACCGTGATGCATTTATTGATACACAAAGACTTTTACGCGAGGGCCGATGATTCAAACGGCAATAACTTATTATCAGGCCCTATAAAAATAATCCATTTTCCTTCCGATCCATTTCAAAGTAACTATAGTTAGCGTTTATAAATGGAAAAATGCATTTGAAATATTAGAACTCTCTAAACTCTCATTATTATCTTATTGAAGGATTACAATTTTTTAAAAAATCTTATTATTATGCTATTACAAGCATTTCCTATCGTACTCAGTAGTAATAACGTAAATAGTTTGGCCGCTTACACACTACCATCATCAGTTGGAGGTATACTTTGGATGCAAAAGCAAAATTTTATGCCTCCTAAACACATAAATACCTTAGATACGGATGATAGTCATCATTGCGAAGTTTTATACAGGTATACTTTAAAAATAAATATAGCTTACGATATCTTTATCGTTATTATTATACTAAATTGTTGTATTAGGGTATGTATTAAAAACAGTTGATTATAGCAGACTATAATTATTTTTTAAAAATTAAGGTTCGAAAATAAAGTTAATACAATTATAAAACTTATTTCGAATAAGTCATTTTGACAATTTTAAAAAATATATTGGAATAAAATATTATCTAACGATGAATGATCAAAGAAAAAGAACTTTCACATGAATAAGATAATTTGAAAAGGAATTGATTAAGTTAAGTTATGCAGCTAATTTTTTTTTCACTAATAACAAATATAACATGATGTTTATTTAAATTATCATTCATGTTTAAAGTTATCGTCAAATAATTATTTATGGGGTTATATTATTATTATTATTTATTTCAGTTGTTACCGTGTTAATAGAAAGCTATTTATTACAATATTAATTAGACAACTTTTGATAATATGTAAATCGATTTGATTATATAGATTGGATTTCTGATATAAATAAATAGTTAAATAACTAATAAACAAAGTGACAATCTTGTTCGATTTATTTTAATGTAGTAACTTAAATTTAAAGGATATTTCTTATACATATATTTTGATGAGTTAAATGTAAGTATTAACCATGCTTATAATAAATATATAAGATAAATTTTTAAATAAATACCTTATTTCGGATCTATTTTATTGTTGTCAAAGCCCATATTGTGCATGTTTTATATTTTTTTTAAAAAAATTGCCTAGATTATCTCTTATAGGTTTGAATACTCCCGAAATTGATTCTAAAAGCGCTGATTACTTTAATAATTACGAGATTTCGAAGGGTAAAGATATGTTGACCATAATTTTCAAAAGGGAATCGTTTTCAGATATGTCAACCCAAAATTTGCTCATGAATGGTGTACAGAATCCTAGTAAAATTACGGACAGCATAATGCATATTCAAAACTATCACAAATCATTGGTAATTTTCCTTTAACACATTCTAAACCGTTTTAAATTGAATAATATTTTGGTTGACTATTTCAGAAATAATAATAGTAATATTAATTTTCATAACCTTGATCTTAATCGTTTAGTAAATTCTTCTTTTTTTTAAACAAATTTGCATGAACTTGGAAAATTAGGTTCTATAATGATTAAATCTTAAAAACCCATTAAATGTAAATTATATTTCGGTGAAGGCATTGGGAAAACTTACACTAGACCAAAATTGGTGCCATGATTTTTCTAGTGGAAACATATTTGTGTACGTGCTGACTAAGCAATACCTCAACGGGGAAATAGGATCACAGGTTATATTAATTTAAAAAGAAAAATCTTATTTGACATTTAAATAGTTATATTATATATATACATATTTATTAATGTAACTACAAAAGTAAGGGGCTGGGGGGATAATTTGTAAATTTTTCAGAAGTATTTTAGCAATATTATAATTTTAATTGATTAAAAAACATATAGATAGTTATAAAAGATGTTGCTGAAGATGAAAAGTTGCCTAAAATTTCCAGTCAAAAAATTATTAATTATAATAAATACGAATACTCCAAATCGACCTTATACACAAAACCTGCTAATATAGATGCGGATGTATTTGAAATGAGGGAGGATCACAGCCCAATGAATTGTTCAAAGGATATAGGCAACCACGTTACAAACAGATGGAAATATTTCGTTTCTAATTGTCGAAAGTGTCAATGCAGGGTAATTTTTTTCCCTTTAATTAGTGAAAATTTTCGGAATCATTGAAAATAATTTTGGGATGAGAAGCAGGCGCATGGTTAGGTGCTTCAGAACCTTATTTTGAAAAACTCGGCATCCTATTATTTAATTTACAATGAAATCCATTGAAATATGAGTAAGTTTATAATAATTAAAAATAAATATAACTTTGCATACGATAATAAAAAATTTGCCTTGCTGAAAATTTTTCACCCTAGTAAATTTTTTTATAGATTCGTTTTTTAGTAATTCTTTATAGAGAGAGAGAATTGGCACTTTTATACACTTTTTTAAAAGTGTAACGATGTGCCTGATATTTTATCATTTTAAATATAATCAGAAATAGAATGCTATTGATACTCGCTGGAGTTAATTATCCAATAGCAATAAAACCACAGAAAAAGTGAATATTATTGTATTGGATTTATAAGATTTGGGGACAGAACAGAGTTTTTAATTTAACTCATTCTTAATGGGGTGGGCGGGGTTAGGAGACTTAAGTTAATTTATGTATTTTAAAAAAATATATATTACATCGAACATTTTTAATTAGAAAAATCTACTCTTCTGTAAAGCCACGGAGGACGAATGTCAAGGAAGTGATGCCTCTTCCTTACAAAATAAAAAAAATCTAAGAATATACGCCCAAAAATGTTGTGACGTCAAAAATAATTACACCCAAATTCCTTTTATTCCAGTTTCCAAATTAGATGTTAAAAAGTCAAATTCCTGCATCTTTGGTAGCGATATTTATCCTAAATACGCAAATTGGAATCCTAAGGTTCCACCCTTCGGAGTGGACAAGTGTGTTACCTGTCACTGCGGTGTAAGCTATTTTAGCAATATTATAAGTTCTCTTGATTATTTTTTGAATATTGCCATATAGTTACTTTATTTAATCATTTTTGAAATATAAAAATATTGCTAATTTTTGGTTGGTCTCTATATAAAAAGTTTGTATGACCAATATTAAATTGGGCCTTAAGAGTTCTTTATTAGCCTAAGCTCTTCAACATATTTAAAAGTATTTATGCAATGAAAAAATTATGAAGTAGCGTTAATATTAACTTTTATGTTAAACTGTTTGTTATAAAAGATATATACGAATAAAAATTTCTAATTAGCCCTGTTGATTGTCGTTTACGAATGATATATACGATATATATATATGTATAAAAATTTTTACTTAGCCTACGTTGAAAGTCGTTTGCGAAAGGGTTAAATGCCCAATAATGAGTTGCCCTCTCAACAATGTAGTATACACAGAAGGATCCTGTTGCAAAGTTTGCAAAAGTAATAGTAAAAAAATTTTTATTACAGAATAAATATGTATAACTTTATCCCTATTTTAATTATTGCCATCTATAAATTTGTGGATTAGTGATTAGTTATATTAATAATAATTTTTTTCAAAAGGCGATTTGAATTCCATCTCGGATTACAGGAATGGAGATGAAGTAGATAAAAGAAATCTGGTAGCTATGGATGCATATAAAGGTTACTCTAAAAGAAGCAAAGAACCCCAAAGAGATGGACCATATTCTAACTACATTGAAAGTATTCATAAGACTTTTTAAATAATATTTTTACCTTATTATTATTTTATTTAACACTATATTTCTATCAGAGCCAGGAATTGAACCTTCAGATCTGGCTCATTTCAATGTTTTATAATTTTTGTCCGACCGACCTGATTCGAGAATTATAGGCCCTTGTACAATTAGATCGGATCCGAATCCTATTTTTTTTTTTAAATAGGCCCGAACCCAGCCCGATCAGTTTTAGTGCATATATATTAAAAATGAATTATACTTTTTTTTCTCGAAAAATATTTGTATTTAAAAAGGTATGTGTAAATTTAGAGAAAAGGAATACTACGAAGGAGAACTATATTATGCTGAGATATCTGCCTTCCAAAACATGCCATGCATCGTTTGCATCTGCAAAGTAATTTTAAACGCATTTTTTTAAAAAATTTTTAATGTTATTTCTAAAAATATGCGCCAAGTCTTCAAAATGGGTTTGCAACCGTTGCACCAAAAAGCAAAACCGGATTAGAAATTCAACCCAAATCTATTCTAATGGTAAGTTGACCTTAAATTATATTTTAAGTCTTTCTTATCTACGCGTAATATTAATTTAATCAGGAATAACTTTATTTATAGCTGTATAAATTTATATTTTGTTATTTTCATTAATTTTTTCAAATATTGTTACAGGATTCGATCACTCAATAATGCCAAACAAACATTTAAATTATTCAATTCCTGTAACAGACCAAGATCCTAAATATAAATTGAAAGGCAAAACATCGATCAAACAAAATGATAATATTCGAGTTTCTAAGATTGAACAAATTAATAAATCAAATAAAAGTAATATCCTTCAAAATACAACATTGTCGCTTGCTTCAGGGAGCATAATAAAAGATTGGATGAGAGAAAAAAAAGGGAGACTAAAGACTAGGCCTGGTAAAAAGGGAAAAATAAAAAATGGGAAGAAAAGGTGTGGAAAAAGAAAAAACGGCAAAAAAAGAAAAAGAGGAAAATTTTGCAAAAAGAACAGGAAGAAAAAAGGCAAGAAACACAGAAAAAAAGTAATGGACATTAAGAATGAATTGCCAGTTATTGTTAAAAATTATTTAAAATTTTCGAATTTCACTAGTGAAATGTAATCTTGTTCAACTTTACCCTAAGAATGAAGCTAATAATTAAGATATAATAAAATGGGAGACGTTATCATGCTTGAGGTACATTATGCTGCAAGCCATTTCACCGCCAATATCAATGATTATATATATTTCCGATAAATCCTTATGTTGCGTTTATTTCAAATTTGGAACTATAGTTAAGTTTTATAGGATTTATATCACATCTTACAATTTAAAAAAACTGTCATTATATAAATTCGTTTAATATGGATGCCTTGGTTCATATAAATGTATTTAAAGTTAAAAAAATATATAAAAAACGAAATTTCTATCAGTCTTTTTTAGCTATCTAAAAATGGTTATTTTATAAATATTCATAATCACAAATTACACTAAAAATTTAAATGGCGTATGCTATATCATATTCACAACCAAATGGCACATTAAAACTAAAATTTTAGCCTTCCAAATGTTTTCTTTATTGAGGATGCTATAAATATCTTAAATTCATAGCATTATTTTCTATAGAAATATTAGGGTTAGCGCAATGAACCGATCCTGAATCATGCTGGATATCCGACAGATTTCAATTAATTTAAGCTTTGAAAAGCTGCTCAACCAAAGCCACGGTGATCGGAATTGATGGTAAATTATATAGGACAATTAAATAATGCTTCTGCTAGCCTATTTCTATAATGTTAAAATTTGTTTAGATATATTAAGTTCGATCATAAGACCTAAATCATCAATATCAAATTCCAATAAATATTTGTTAGTTAGCAAAGTATTTTATTGATTGCCATGAATTCGCGAATCAGTATCAAAGGTATTTCAAGAGATATATCGAACCTAATTGAGGCGTTCGTGTAATATATCTTAACTTGATCGAGCAAAACGTCAAAAAAACTCAATACGATATTTCCCTTCTAAATCCGGTATTCGCCCCTCCCCCCTTCCTAGGAAATCTTTTTAACCGAATTTAAGTTATTGTTGGGAACAATCCTTAATTAATAGATCTAAAAATGAATACATTTTTGGTTAAGCGTCATTACATTATTTAAACCGATATTGCCGCTTTGCATAATTTTGTTTACAAGATTTACCTGTGCAAGAACAAATAATCCAAAACATAAACTTCTTCAATTTTTAAGACATAGAAGTTACCTTTTTTTAAATTTTCCATCGTTATATTTTTTTTAAGATATATTTAATTAATTACCAATTAGTTTAGTGTGATATTATATGTAATATTGGAAAAATAATTCTATTTATTTAAAATTTTTGGCGACCCTGAAGCACACTCTGTGAATTAAGTTCTTGGGAGTAGAAATCTTCAAGATTTTACAAAATAATAATGCTAAGTAAGGGTACACAGTCAAAATGACGGAGAATCGCAAATAGTGACAAAATCTCAAATAAATAAAACTTATTATAATTGCGTTATGATAATATTATCGTTTAAACATAATAGTATTTAATAAATAACAAAAAATTATTACCAAAAAATAATTATCGTTTAAACATAATAGTATTTAATAAATAACAAAAAATTATTACCAAAAAATAATTATCGTTTAAACATAATAGTATTTAATAAATAACAAAAAATTATTACCAAAAAATAATAAATTTTAAATGTATTAAATCTTAGACAGCTCTAATAAACGATAAAAAAAATCTTTATGTCATTCCGGGTTTAAGATATTTTAATTATGTTGTTACACAAATAAATTTATTATAAAAAAATTCCAAGACTTATATTCGGGTATTTAAGGCTACGATTGTAGTAGTATAAAAAGAAATTTTAATTAGTTTTCATTAATCCAAAGATAACAACCTTCTCTTTTTAAAAAGATTAATCTTATATTAAATTTATAATATATCATTCTGTTATTATTTTCGGACAAATTATTATATATGATTGTGCAAGTACTGAGAATTGGAGCTCACTAGTTTATTAACAGTTTGAAATGCTCTACAAAATAAAAAATGTTCTGAGAATGTTTAAACATGATTTCTGATCTATTTTGCCTAAAATTGCTCAAAATTTTAGTTGAAAAAAATATTCATAATTTTTTTTTCAAATTCGGCTATTAAAAATATTACTTTTAAATATGTGTATATTTATTTTATTATCTAATATATGTGACTATAAACAAAATCTAATACAATAATAAAAGCTAAAAACTGGCTAATTGTGATCTATAAAACAGTATAGATAATATGAATATATAATACGCCTACACTACCATAATAATTTATAGATACAATAAAATTTCTATCTGTTAAAAAAAGATCCCGTATCCTATTCCTACCAATTATGGAGAAAGAGGAGGTGGGGTTATAAAAAGAAATATATTTTTAAAACCCCTTTAATTATGGCAAGTAAATACGAATTGATTAAATTTTTGATTCAAAATTATAATCATTTAGAAAAATAAATAAATCTATCAAACTAAATGCTTTTATCATATGTTAATTTAGTTCGGTTGTATAACGTTCCATGCATACTCAAAGTGAGCAAGATAGAAGAGAAAGCATAAATAATACATTTTTAATTTAAAAAAAACAAGGGGGGTATATCAGTATTGTCGGCTAGATTAAAATAATTTTATTTATTTCTAATCCAATGTAGCATAGTCTACATTTTTCAGCATTGGCAAAGTTCTCCAGAAAAGCTGAGATCCCCTTTTGAGTTGACCCTGTTATTTTTTTTAAAAAAATAGGAAAACTGTATGAGATAAAAAAAATAATAACATTATAAATAAAATATTAAACCATAATAAATTTCTGATACTTTAAGTAATATTCTATTATAATTTTCAAAAAATATTCATATAAAAATAGAAGGTTTTAATATGATTAAACAAACATATTGCAATGGGCTAATAATATTTAAACGTTTCGTAATTTGCCCTAAATATTAATATATAAGCTTAAACATCGATTATCTCTAATAAAATATTTAGGAGATAAGGTCTTCGTAAGATTATAAAATATTTTAAAAAAATACTAGAATAATTTGAAACTTAGAAGAACTAATAAAAGAGTATAAAGTGTCATATATCAAATTTGTTAATTACTTGAGCACTTAAATGATTCCAGCAATCAAACCAATTCTTGTAAAACAACATAAGGGGAGGCCGCCCAGCTCTTAATCTAGTATAAATAATTTAGATGAAAAAGGAAAGTTTAAAGATATGAGAGAAATAATGCGTAAAATATATTTAATTCTTACTTTGCCCTCTTTTTCTATTTATTATTTACCGAGATTCCCCCCCCCCCCTATTTTATAATTTCTCTAAAAAAATATATATTCACACTTTTTTTGTAGTTATTTTTTATATTCGCTAATTTTAAGCTTATCTCGTTTTATTTCAATATGATAATTGGGAAGATATAAAGATAATAAATAGTTTTTTTTAAGAGGTACGAGATAAGAGTAGAAATTTATAAAGAAAAGAATGAGAAAATATATATAATAATTGATACCCTGTTGCCCCAGTAACGCACATGATATTACCAACTAAGGTGTATGGGTAGGTGAAAATATTCGCTATAATCTATCAACGAATCGAGAGAAAGAAGATAAAAAATATTATCAATTCAGTAAGAATTGTGGAAAAAAAATGTATAAAATTTTTAAAGAAAATATTAAATTACCCCGGCAATGGTCAGCGAATGATTTTGCAATTCCTGAAGTTAAAAAATAATATATGTTTACATAAATAAATTTTGCACCTTATAAAAAATAAATTTCTCAAAATAATTTTTATTACAAAGTAGTATTCATTTTAATTTCAAATTGATGTTAAAATTTAACGTTTTGCAAAGGGGACCATAATGAACAACCATTGTTATATTAATATGGAAAACAAAAATTTTCGGAAGAATGAATCAAAGCTTATTTATAGTCATTCTAAGTAACAATCCTCTTAGACTATGGGTATCACCAGACTTTTCCTGAGGCTAAATGGGTGCTCAAAATATAAAAAGAGGAAACTCGTCAAAATTTTGTATCCCCTCCCTAGTGCCCACTTTATTTAAGTTATAAGTGTCCAGACCTTTCATTTGTTTCTAATTTTCAAAAAAAATGAATGGACAAAAAATAAATAATAAAATAAGTTATATATACAGTATTATCCAGGATGTATTTGTTGGCGAAGTAAGCCAGGGTATACGAAATCCAAAAGGTAAATAATTCGCCCAACACCCTAGGCATCAATCCACTATATAATATATGTTATAAAATAATTGCATTTAAAATATATAAATAATATGGTAATAATAAAACAAACAATATTTTCTATAAATAATATAATTGATAATCAATTTAGGTTTATTATTTTATAGAATTATATAAACCTGAAAAATCCAGGCAAACCATCATTGCTTTTAATCTCAGCTATCGACGCAAATATACCTCTTAATAGTATTTATTTTTTTGCAATTCGAATTTCATAAAATAACATTATAATATCAAAATATATCATTATATTGTTCAACCTCGTATTTTGCATAATTGTTTATATTTATATCTTAACAATAATATAAGGAGAAAATTTAAAGAAAATATATTACCAAAATTTGAAGGTATCTATTTTTTTGGGTGGGGAATGGGAGTTTAAGTTTTATAGAATCTTTGCCGTGTCAACTTTAAGAAAAAAATTCCTAATCAAACATTAAAATGGCCATAATTTAGTAATCTTATTCTTAAAAATAAATGATATGTTTCATAAATTTATGAATTGTCATGAGATATGTCAGGATCTAAATATTATAGCGTAAGGATTTAAAAACCTCTATTTAAGCATTATTTTTTAAGAGATACTCAGTCAAAATTTAAACTACTTAAACTATTTAGTTAATTCAAACATTTTAGAACCCTCAGATAAAAAAGCACTCCAATATTCAAACTACAAGACCATATAAGGTGGCTATATATTCTAAATAAGTTAAAATTACTTGTTAGTATCATCAATCAAAAAATAAGGTGTCATTGTCTATTAATATTAAATTTTTGTATATAAATTTTTAAAATTGATCTCAATCAAAATTAGGTAATTAAGCTTGAATGGCATTCAAAAGAGTATATTAAAAATAAATAACAAATATTTTTGTAATGGTTACGAGTATTTGGCTTCTTTCCCAATGTAATCCGCAATCATTCTGACGCATACAACTATATGAGATAAATATTAATTTTTTAAATACAAAATATAGAGTAAAATTTTCCTAAAATTAAAATAATAAAATTCAACATTCCAAATTGAAATTTTAAGGTGAGCAACTATTTTAGTTAAAATGGTACTTTCATGACAAAATCGACCATTGATTCGGACGACCATTTTAAAATGAATGAAACTTGGCATAGGGGTTAAATAGATTGTATATTATATACAAATCCAAATTTTAATGCCCTTGCTCAAATAAATCCCGAGTTATGGGCCTTCAAAGTTCGATGAGAACATTTTTTTTAACGAATTATTGTTGGTCTAAAGAAACAAATTTTATATCATTTTTAGCTTTTAAAATTCGCCTCAAGAAAATGCAATAATTATTTTGAAAAGTGCTCCATTTAAAAAGATGAAACTCATGAAATATGTTTATTACCAATATATTTAAGTAAAAAATATTAATGGAGAAAATAAGAATTTAAATTTTATTTAGTTTTTTTTATAATTTATGGAATATAATCTCCATTATAAAGGGCGTTTGAAACTCATCAAATTTGTTTATTACCAATGTATTTAAACATTTAAGTAAAATATATTAATGGAAATAAGAATTAAAATTTTATTTAATTATAATTTTAAAAATAAAAAATCAATTATAGAGGGGATTATCTATAAAGTTAATTATAATATTTCTTTTTATTAGGGTATAAAAATGTGTATTATTATTTATAAAATATATTATAATTAACTTTAAAAATAGCGCTCTCTATAACTGATTTATTTATTCCTAAAATTATATAAACTAAATAAAATTTAAATTTTTATTTTCTTCATTAATATTTTTTACTTACATATTTAAATAAATTGGTTATATATAAACATTTATGATAAATTTCAACGCCCTTTATAATTGATTTTTCAGTACCCAAAATTATAAAAAAAACTAAATAAAATTTAAATTCTTTTTTTTCCCATTAATATTTTTACTTTAATATATAAATATATTGGTAATAAATGTATTTCATGCGTTTCATCATTTTAAATGGAGCACTTTTCAAAATAATTTTTTTAATTTTACGGAAATACAACGACACTGAAGATATTTTTAAAAATTATTTTGTATTTACTTTAAGAGAGTTTTAAGGGCTACAAAATGATATAAAATTTCTTACTTTAGACCAAAAATATTTTGAGTATTTTAAGATTCGCTAAAAGAGGAAAAGGCTCTCATAGAACTTTGAAGGCCCATAACTCGGGATATATTTGAGTTAGGACATTAAAATTTTGATTTGAATAAAATATACAATCTATTTTACCTTCATGCCAAGTTTCATCTATTTTAAAAATGGTAGTCCGATAATCATGTTATTTTGGCATATTTGTCGTTTACCCAAAAGTGATTTCAAAAACAATACTTTTAAAATTAAGATCATAAAATAAATCTTAAATTTCTATGTTTCTGAATTGAAATTACCGTGAAAAGGTTGACTCGCAACTATGCCCGCCAAATGACATAAGGATTCTCTCGCTAGCTTTTAAATTATACATAGTATTTATAAAAAAATTAAGTGAATTTTCTTGTAATTAACTCTAAGCAGGCACTTCACACCTTTTCTAAGCTAATGATGATATCATCACTCTCCCCCAAAAAATCTATAACTCCCTCATGTCCACAAAATATAAAAAAAGAAATCGAATTTAAAATTAGTCGAAAAGGAACTCTAACTCAAAATTAGAAAAAACTATAATTCCTACTCCCTCCCATCCCTATTTTCCCTAACCCCCCCCCTTTCTATGTCGATGTTGCGTCATAATCCCCCCTCCACTTATGGAAGAAGAGAATGGCTTTTCATTTAATTTCCCACTTTCCATTCTTAATTTTTTTATACTTCCACATAAAATGTTTCCCATAGCCTCTGATCATCAGCAACCAATTCTCCACCATCAGTGTTGTAAAGCAGTGGGGCAGAAGCCGAATATATCAACTCTTCTGGGTCAGGTCTCCTTTTGCCCCGCATGGCTATAATTTCCTTGAGGTTAGGGCCAGGGTACTTTTCTTTTAATTTCTTAAATAATGTAATGTTAAAACATTTGAATATAATAAATAATAGTAAATTTATGTTTTAAATTTATCTTGGTCATAATCTCGGGACCCCAAGAGATCGTCCAATAGGGATTAAACCACATTTACTTAGACCAGAATCAGACCGTAGAATAGAGACAATTTCCTTTAAACCAACCCGACGGTGGGAAGAAAAACGTAACCCGGACCAAAATTTTTTCTCGACTAAACCCGACCCAAACAGAATATCCCAATTTTTTTTAAGTATGTTACATAATGATTAAATTCAAAATATTGTAAATCTTTCCAAACATATTCTACTTTTTTTTAAAAAAAAATACTTAGTTTTGCAGATCTCTATTTTGAGTCTCACACGGAGGTTGTGGATCCCGTTTTTGCCCCTTTTTAATTGGTTAAAAAGATGTGATGGTTTTGAGTAAATTAAATTATATATCAATTTAAGCAGAAAAAAACATATTCCTATTTGTATCTAATTAAATGGCTCGATTCTTAAAAAAAATTGTTAACCCAATATTTTAGCCAGAATGTTAGAGAAGCTTGGAGATTTTGCTAATAGATGGGAGAAAGGTTTGGACAACTATTTTGTAACATTAATTTTGGCTAAAATCTTAATTTAAAATTGGCTATATCGAGCCGTTTCAGGACTGTCAACCCACCATCTACAAAAATAAGGTTCAGTGAAAAGTCTCTGAGCCAAGTTTGGTTCGGGCAGAAAAATAATTTAAAATTATATAAAATGGATATGCTAAAATAAAAAAATATTTCTAGAAAAATGATTTTCATAAAAAAAAATGTATATTGATAATTTAAAAAAAACAATTATATTTTAAATATTTAAACATGTTATTTTTGCCCTAGAACCCTAAAGTTCGTGGTATTCTGGTTCAGTTAAATATCAGAGTTCGAAGGGTTCTGTTTCAGGATTGGTTGTAAAATATCAGAGTTCGAAGGGTTCTTATGGGGTTGGTTTACAGCTCGGCTATCTGAATCTTTATTAGATTAATTTTGATTAGGACTCTTTTTTAATATAAATTTAAAATTAAATAAAAATATGAAGTCCAGAAATTTTACAATTAAATTTTTTAAAAAAAAATATTTATTATGTATTATAAAAATTGTTAGGGTGTATACTTATTTAAGTGTCCCTAAGCTAAACAGCTTTTGAATTAGGACACCATATTTTGGATTATTTTAACTTTGAATAATTCTAATTAAGACATACGCTTATTTTTTTTTTGATAAAATAATATGTCTTACTAAACATAGTTTTTTTAACAAAAAAAAATAAAAATTCTTTCTATAAATAGCTTTTTATCACTTTTTTAAACATATCTTACACTTTTTCTTAAGTTTTGGAATTCAAAAAGTATATTGGTATCGGATTGGTATTAAAATAAATATTGGCAAATATTGGATCGAATCAGTGCAGCCCTATTTTTAATAAAATTTTCATAAAAAAGTGATTCCACAAAAAAGAAATGTTTCTGATATATTAATATAAATAGAAGACAATTCTCAAACCTAAATTTTTAAAAAAAGAGTTGGGGTTCAATCATTTACATATCATTTTTTGATATTGAATAATTATTACAATATAATAGTTTATATTTAAAAAAAGAAATGAATTGAACTAGTTATATTTTTGGAAGAGAAAGAAAGAACTTTTATTTATTTTCTATATATCAAGTTGGAAATCATTCACTCTCTTCAAAGATAACTTTAACTTAGATATCTTATACTTATTTTCATACTTTATGTTTAGTTAATAAGGTATTAATAAATAAATAATTTAATCATATTATTTAAAAAAAAATTATTTAATATTCTTTTTAAAAAAATTTTCCTTAAAATTGATTTGAAATCATTTTTTCCTTACTTTAGAAACATGTATTGACACAGTTGCTGAAATTAAGCATTCACATATTTTCGCAGAAAGTCCTTTGTAAAGACCCATAACTCCCGCAGTCCTTTTAATGTGCCCCACTTAATATAAAATTTCAAATTTAAACAATTAGAATGATAAAAAAATTAAATTAGCAATGAGATAAAATAGTAAAATTAATTTTTTAAAAAGTTAAAATAATTATATTAGACTTAACTATAGCCAAAAACATTTGGATAACACCCAACACTCCTTCCAAATAAATCCTTTGTCAGATAAGGGCTTAGTGGCTCATGACCAAGCTAAAATAATGCAGATATTAAAAAATTGAATTTACTTAACAAATCAATTATACCTGTATTAAAATTTTTGCATTTGTAATAGGGTAGGTTAAAATATTAATGCCAAGTGCTTGACCCAAATGATTAAAATCTGGAGGGTATGTCGAAATCATTTCACTAATTTTATATTAATAAAACACAAGGCTGTTTATTTTAGTGATTTACGCTTAAAATGATGAAAAAAATATATCCTTACTTTCCATTGGATGATAATAACCCAACTCAAGAAATCTGCAATTTTTTAATTTGATGAAATATATAAATTAAATAGGTAGGATTAAAGGTTAGAAAGATATGCTCTATGTTTAAAGGCCTAAGAGATGTGAAATTTTTAAGATATATTATTTTTATTTATCAAATATTATGTTAACACAAAATTTTAATAAAAAATAATAATAAATTCCAAATTAAATTAAATAAAAATGAAATAAAGTGTAAAATGATAAGAATAAGGAAGAAAAAGTAAATCTAGAGAAGGTCTGGGGAAAGAAGATTGGTATTGTAACCTTAATAATTTGTTTGAAGGGTTAATTATAGCTCTGAGGAAAGCCTTCTAGCAGATCATCAGTATGCTAGCGATTGGGTTTCAGGTACTTTGCACGATCTGTATTGTAAGCTGTGTCTTCCTTTGCAGTGTGAATTCTGCAGCCAGAGCATAAGTAAGGAAAGATTATTGTGCAATTTAGGCGGATTTCTATTGCGTGGGTTAGTTCATTGTTGGTCAGTAGGAGTTGATGATTGTTGGCTGGAATGATTTCCAAAAATTTATTATCGGATCCATTAAGTAAAGAAGTTAAGAGGGAACCGTCTTTTGGGAGCATGCTAGATAATTGGGATTCAACGCAGCATGCTGCAACTGGCCTGTCCCAATCCTTTAGTCTATTGAGGAATTGACAAATTGATGGAAATTGGTAACAAGAATAGATAAATTTAATGTAGCATGTGAATGATCTGCTTGCTAATTGCAAGAATGAGTTATGAGAGAGGATATTATACGCAGCAAAATCAATAAGTGTTTCTGTGGGATTGCTCTCCATATAAAGACGACTAAAATCCACGCGGCCTCACATCCGCTAATGACTTCCATCCCTAATTGAAATCGGGTGAGAAGGGAGATATTACATATTTTATCATGGATGTAATCATTTTAGCGACAAGGCGGTTAAGAGTTCCAATGTCGATTGGTCTGACATATATATATGTGAGTCTTCTGTAAGACTATAATTCTGGCTCCAAAAAGAATGGGGGTAAAGATGGTGGAAACATCACCATATAAGATTCAGTTTTTGTGATTTTAAGAAGGATGGAAGTTTATGAGATGATCAGTGGAAAAGTTGTGTCCTGGAGGAATATCGGATTGCCTTCATTATTTCCTGAAGTGAAATCGGAAGAACAATGAGGATTAAGTTGTTGGGTAATTGTGTTAAAGTAGAAGAAGGGTGTTTTGAAAGGAGTTTGAGTAGTCAGCTAGTGAATCATAAGAAAAGGCCAAAACAGTCGATTTTCTTTGAAATAAGCTTGGCTCTTAGCTCAATAGGAAAAGCTTTTTTTGTTATAAAAAATTGTGGGACCCTTACACTTGAGGATGGAGCAAAACATTGCTGGGGACATCCATAATTTGTTGAGTCAAAGAAATTCTTGAGGATTTATCAGGTAACCTAACAATATTATAATTAAAGAATAGGAATTTTAGACATTTCGTCTCACTGTTAAAGTTTTGTTAGAGAGAGGAGACGCAATCAGAGAGAGACTTAGCGACTTGAAATCTAGCACCTTTGGGAATTCTTGATATGTTAGGTTATCTGGTATTGAGAAATAGATATGAGAGAGATCTATTAGACACATGATTTAAAGGGGTTTCTACGAAAGGGCTGAGAAGCAAGTAAGCCTTCTGGAAGAGAGGTGAAAATCTTAAATAAGGATATCTGTTACTGATTGGCTCATGAACATAAAATAAACCATCATTTGTTAAATGTATAACCTTCAGACAGTAAGGAGTTATTTTGGTCAAAGGAGGTGGTAATAGGTATGATATCATAATGCCGTTATGAATAAAGCAAAAGATAATGCCAAATATTCGATGTAGAGCAAATTACTTGAGTAAATGGCGCGACTACGTATAAAAAAAATGAATTAATACGATAATGAATCAATTTTAAGCTATATCCAGATGTGAAAATAAAAAAAATTGATTTAAAAAAAAGGCGTTAATATAAATGAATTTAAGGCTAGATATATCCAGATGCGGAAATAGAACTAGGCTTAATATCATCAAATAAGTTTTATTATATAGCGCGAATGAATCAAAATATGTGAGGGCACGATTATGAATAATTCGAATAAAAAATTCGAATCATTGAGAGAATAAAATTGAGATAGAGAGGCGCGAATTATTAATAAGCGACTAATGATTTTTAATTTTGAACGAAGTAATTAAGTGAAATTTGTGCATCACTAAACCAAAAGAAAAGATGGGATATATAAATTTGAAAAATCGAGCGATAATTAATTTAGCGATAAAAAAAGTCATTTAAAAATAACTATTTATTATTTTTTTAAAATAATGAACATTGATACAAAAACAGAATAACTCTAAATTTAAAGAGGAAGCTAAATATTGGCAAGTTTTACTACATACGATAAGTAACGAATTTATATTTTTTCCAATTTTATTTTTCAATTTTTTCATACGTTTACTTTTATAATTTATAAATTTATTCGTTACAAACGTTTTATATTTAATAATAAATGAAGATCCAATCTCTTAAAAAGGAATTTATTTTAGATATTTAAATAGTTATTTTTTAGGTTTATTTAATACATAATTGTCAACGGTTCAAAATTATACATTTCATACTCACCTTATTCCATTTTGAATCAAACACCTCACACCTACTACTTTCAATTTCATGAAACTTTGTTAGCACGTTATATATGTTCTAGCTTAATCAAAAACGAAAGGTTAGCTATTATCTAAGATAACGGAGGTGGCTATTTTTACTCTTCAGCGATATTCAAAATTACTTTTTATTTAAATTAGCTCTAATATTGAATCTAATATTATTAACTAAGTCAATAATTTAATTATGAGGAAAGTATCAAAATAATTTTTTTGGTGGGTCATCTTATGTTCAGTAGAAAAAATTTACAAAAAATTTACCCCTAGTATTTATTTACTATTTTTCTAATATTTTCTTCAATATTAACGAGGTTTAATTTTTAAAAATATATCGCGAATATACAAGAAACATTTAAATGGCGCTAAATATGAAGGTTTTAGTTTAATAAATTTTATAATAAAAATTTACAATATGTATGATTACTCATAAAATAATTAATAATACCTTAAAATAATTTTAAACTACAAGTCTTTTATCGCATTAAAACGTTTTTATATAACGCCATCACACATTTTTTTAAACATTATTCCAGATATTTTCTTTTAAATTACCCAACCATTGGAGAAATAATAAGAAAAATAGTAGGTGAAATATAATAAACTAAAAATTTAATTGGTGCTCATATTGATTTCTAAACATTTATTTAAATTTTTTTTTATTGATCATAAGATGACCCATATTTAAAATAAAGAAATAGTCTTACCCCCCCCCCCTCCCGCTTTTAGATCCGATGATTAACATAGAAATCAAAAATATTTGTTTATTTTAAGTTAAAATCCATGGCAAGATTTATTTTTTGCTTAAAATTATTTTTAAATATCTGGATCTCCTCCACTCCTCGTACTTTATTTTTGTGATGCAGATGTAAACAAAACAATCAAAGGTTATTTTATTTTGAGAATCATTTACTATGTTAAAATTTTTAACCTACCCTTTTTCCCACCTACCTTAAAAATTAAAAGTTTAGTAACAATGTCATTTTTTTAGTTCTCATTTGATACCAATGTTCAAGTATTATATAGATTCCCACATATTATCTTGAGAAATGGGTAGTGATAACAGTTAATTAGATTTTTTTATTAAATCTCATATGATGCCCTTAACAATATATTTGTAATATAAATTTTAATCCCTTCCACTCCCCCCCCCTCCCCACTAATACCTCTGCCATTGCTTAAAGACTTAGAGCGTTAATTTTTGTAGCATTCAAAAAAATCTTTTTATTAGATTTCATTTTGTATACTTGTTGGAATATTTTTAATAGAAAAGGCTTAAAACTACCCTCTCGCACTAGCCTAGATCCGAAAACCTAGAGTAATGATTAATTTTAATAACTTAAAATCTTTTATATTGACTTACATTTGATACCCTTGTCGAGATATTTATTATAAAAAAAATTTTAAACCCCCACCCACTCAGCCCATGATCTAGACCCGTGATCTAGCTTCAAAAAAAATCCTTCAATTCTTTATCATTATTTTTAACCTCTCCCTCCCTGTCCTAGAAAATACCTAGAATGATGATTAATTTAATAGTAACTCAAAAAATATTTTTATTATTTTTAACTTAAAATCATTAGTCAAGATATTTTATATAATATTTTAATCCCCCCTCCCCCCTCCTCCCTCCCCAATACCCCAGTGATGCAGATGGACCTATAGTGTTAATTAATTTTTACAGCACTCAAAAAAAATTATTTAAAATAGGATCAATTTCTAAGCAATTTAGTATCTTTCAAAATTTTTAAGTAAAATCGTCTTAGATTTTAGGAAAAAATATATCTGAAATTATTAACTTTAATTAATCTGAGCGTTTCAATTTTTACTCTGAGAAAATAAATATATATCACAATTAAGGTTTATTCACGATGATTAAAATAAAATAGTCAATTTCATTTATTAACAATATAGTAAACCCAAAATTTGATAATTGTAAGGTAAATACTTTTCCAAAAAATAATCTTTTCTTACGATATTACATATTGTAACATTAGGACACCTTTATCCAACATAGAAATATATATAATATAATATATATGTATGACGGAAGCATAATTATAGTAATTGATTGTAATTAAGACTTATATTTTAATTTTTCCATAGTTATGATATGACAATCTTAACAACACTTTTATGCCCAGAAATATAATTTAAATTAAATAATAATTTATAAAACATCATTTTTAATGATATTGGTTTTATATAATATATATCCCTATATACGGGTGATAATAAAATAACACAATCTTCCTTAAATTGAACTATATTCTCTCAATTCTTTTTTTTATTTTCAGTA